TCCCTCTCTCTTACTTTTTATTTTTATGTTCTATTCCTCTATGACGGTGGTATCTGGGTCAGCTTACGAACACCTTAACTATTTAGCTGCGTACCTGCTACCTCCTAAGTCCTACCAGCATAGGTACTGGGTAGGTAATTCTATCCATCAAGGCTAGGTAGATGTAAAAAATCACCTAGTGTTTTTTTCTTTTACCTCTGTTGATATTTGAACTTGAGGCTGCATGGTTCTCCTCCCACTTTATTGACTCTTACGCCACATCCTTAGGTAACCAAGAATCCATGTTTCCAACTTTTAACCTTGGTAGATAATGTGGGTCTTGTACCATTTTTTCACTTGAATATTAGACCTGATTCACCAGGCATGATTTGAATTTGTACTGCGCACCTACCATAAATCTCCTGTTGTACGACCTTTGCCTTTGTACCAGTGTCTTGGAGCTGCCACCATCTTTGCACACCAATTTTCTCCTTTGTTATTTTGAAATGTCAAGCATCCCCACTAGCAAGGAGGCTTGGTAAAAGGAGAAACCAGGAAACACAAGAAAATTCTCACGAGAAGAATTAATCTCTTGTTTTTTTTTTCCAGTTACCTCAACAAATACTTCTATCACCCTGCCTCTACACCATAATTGATCCAACCAAATCACCCTCACTATCCCATATGCATTCAAAAATTCAAGTAATACCAGTATCCCCAACACCATTAATCTATCAACCTCTGCATTAAATGCCAGTTCTGATCGATGAATTATTTCGCATGCCCATCTAGAGCTCCCTGGGTCCACCAATACCACCAGCGCCACCATCAACAATCTCAGTAAAGGATGGTTTTGACTTTTGACCGCCAATCCCCATATTTTGGAATCCCGTTCTTTACAAGCGTGAGCATGTTCTTCGCAAGTTGACTAAATCACTGGCTTCTTGTTCATGCTCCCTGTTCAATTTGAGAGATATACAGTGGATGAGAGGTCAGCAACGGGGTTGGAGAAGTTTTAATTTGGAGAGATGCGTGGTTCTCTTGGAGAGAGAAATAAGTAGAAAATTGGTTTAGGATTAATTGCAAGTCATGAGCAATGATATTTGAATTTCCAATCATAGATGGATGTCTCGCTTCCATTACCTTATTATAGTACTGTTGTTATTGCTTGTTGCTTTATTTTTACCGTTCCTTAAGCCGAGGGTCTATCGGAAACAGCCTCTCTGCCGTTATAGGGTAGGGGTAAGGCTGTGTACACACTACCCTCCCAGACCTCACGTACGGGATTAAGGTGGGATGTGTCATCCATAACTGTCCACTGAGCAGCTCAGTCGCAAACATGTTCAGCTCTCTCCTTACCTTCCAAGACTCAGTCCTAATTTACGGACACCCTTGTATGTAAAGTTGATATAGTGCCGGACAGGGGGAAGGGAGAATTGCAAATGGAAGAACTGAGAAAGACGAGAAGGAGAAAGGCAGACAGGAAGATGGAGAGGAGAAATAGGGGAAAAAGTGGAGGAAGAAGGTGATAAAGAGAGGTTATAATACCAAATCAATTCATCAAAACTTATTCAGGTCTGTGCAAAAGAATATACAAGGTCTATATATAGGGTAGAGAGCCCAACAAGTCAAAACTCTTTAAGCTAGTAGAATGTTATTTCTAACTAAAATGTAAGTCTAACTCTAAGTAATAATTATAACTGTCTAACAGAAAATAAACTGTAACTAATAGATTATAATACCTTTCTACATAAAGGATAAAAGATAGATAATATACTGTAATACATCTTTTATTATAAACACTACTCTACTTGGAGAAAACTCATGAGTGAGACTAAACTCCAAAAGGTCTTAAGTAATAGACCAAAACTCAATTTTTTGATTCATGTAATATAATGCGGTAGTAGATCCTTAGGTACATGTGCAAATTACCAACTGAATGGAAGATCATCTCCTGGAATGAGTGGCCAGCATAATAATGATGGATATAAAGAGCCCTAGTGTAATGAAGCGCAACGTGTGCTCTGATACTAAACTGATGTAGCACTAGAAAGGGAGAACGGAGACATGCAAGTAGAATGAATGAGAAAGGAGAGAGCGAGAGAAGAGAAAGAGAGGGAGAGGGAGAGAGAAGAGAGGAGGAAGAAAGTGAAGAAGAGAGGGTTTATAATACCAAAATTGATTCATCAAATCTTATCTGTTCAATAAAATATACAAGGTATTATCGGATAGAGAACCCAACAAGTAAAAACTCTTTAAGCAACTAGAATTCAGTCTCAACCTAAACAATAAGCTCTAACTAACAGATAAAAAACTTATTCCTACCTAAAGACAAATATATATCTAACTAATAGATAAGACTTTATTTCTAATTAAAGATAAGAAGATAAATATCATGTGCTAATAACATCTTTTATAATCTACGCTAGAAAACCTCTTTAGCACCCATTGAATACTCAGACTCATAATGTTTCTCGATATGATGGACTAAATGTGGACATAGGCATCTAAAATATTGTAGGAATTTGGGGAAAAGGAAAATACTAAATTATTTAACTAAACTACAATTACATGTACTTAGGGCTCACCTGTATACCAGAAACTGTAAAATATGGTATCTCAAACTTTACACGTATAGGAGTTTTTCTTTCAGGAGTGGCTTCTTCTGCTGTAATACTGGGAAGTCTAAACTCTGCTCTCAACATATATTCCTGAAAATGCAATGGGAATTGGCATAAAAGAAATCTCAGAGAGAGAACAAACAGTAAAAGGTAAATATGAGTTAAATCTTAAGCTATGACTAAGCATACGCTTACCTTACCACCTGGAAAAGATTTTATCTTCCAAATCAATGCATCCTTTTCAGGTGCATAAGTAGATGATCCCATCGATGTACGAACATCTGGATTAGTTGCATCCGTTGGAACAGGCAACTCAATTTCAACATTAGTTGCAGTGCTGAAATTATCAAATAAACTCATATCTGAACTAGCACCATATCGTTATATCATAATGTATGCCATCTGAACTCCAAAAGATCAAATGATGCAGCTCCAAAAAGGTGTATAGCATTATACAAATAGACATACCTTCTCTCCTTGAACTGGCTTCGTGCTTTAACCAGAATTTCCATACGGCTCCTAGAATGTCTTTCCACTTGGGCTTCTACCCATAATAGAGGCTTTACCTGAGATTAATTACTATTATAACACTTTAATCGATCGACTCAGTGAAGGCACTAAAAAAAGGTCAGTCAGATGGATNAATAATGCAGTCCTTGTGTCAACATTTAAGAATCCTAGACATTTTAGGTAGATATACACTAGTGATGCTACCATAGAGGCAGCTCATTAGTAAGACGGGAAGGAAATGCAGGCAAGAAGACAGAACTTCACCAGCTCAACCGTGTAGATGTGAAGTGAAAGGCTCGGAGAACAAAATTACATGTAAATATGATCTTAGTAATGACAGAATCATAATCAGCATAGAAAATCTTCACACTGCTAGTGCTAGTCCAAATGATGTAAAACAATATTTAAGATCAGGCTGGACTAGATCAAGAAACATCCCAGAGGTGGGTTTAGGCTTTGTCTTGCCTTCAGAACTGTTTTTAAAACTTTAGAAAAGGGGGCACTAAATCTCAACTTTCACTGAAGTGCCTATAAGATTTTAAGAACCTTCTGAAGTAATTTCATAAAAGAGAATACTAAAACAAATGCCCACACAGTTTAAACAGAGTTCTTACTATCATCAATCTTACATACAACAGGATCAAGCACTTAGTATTATAAAAGCCAGACTGTCTAACACATTAATGACCAAAAGGCTATTGCAAAGCCATATATGTTGGCGACACAGGATACTGTTGCTCTGCATCTCATGTCATGAACTGTACCTAACACTGTATTCACCGTCGCCAGCTGCTGCTCTAAACTCAAAACCAACCCCAAAGTTCTCACCTATTCCATCTATAGTAACGCTTAGATTTTTCTTTGATTGAAGCTAACTTTAACAATAATATAAGCTAATTTGATTAACAATACAAAAAAGTTCTTCCAAAATCAGTCCTTCCACCTTCCTAATGTTGATAGTAAAAGGATCCACATCAAAGCCCAGCCTGATTCACTATATTCGCTAGCAAGACAGGGCTAGGGATGAAGGACAGGATTCCAGATGAGGATAATATTAAAATCTGAAGATCGCCAAGAACAATTCAGTATGCAATATTACATAAAATGCTAAACTAGAATAGACAGAAATCAGTATACATTTGATCCTAGAACACTGCTGGTCATGATGGCGAGAAGTAGCCAGTACAAAACTTGAGTTTTTGAGGTGATTCTCAAAGACAAATGTAGGCAACTGATAACAAAGTCATAATTTTTAGGGAGCTTGGACAAAGATTGCTGGCAAATCTGCAATTTATTACTATGACAAGAAGGCATAACGTCAAAAATCTTTTAACACCTATAGACATGAACTAGATGTTTATCACTCACACGGCCACAGCATACTGGGCAATCATACATTGAAATTTCAGTTTTACCGATACAAGTAGGAATATGCAAAGAGTGACCCATACATACATAAACACATATATATCCCAGAAAAGTGCAAACCTCAAATAGGTCCTCATCTTCAATGCACCAATAACATCCGACCTCACTATTTGCCCATTGCTGTTAACAAGTATATTAACGCTCTCCACAACATCCAAAAATACCTGAAAGAACAAAAAAATTCCATATAAGCCACTAAAAGAAACTGCTATTGGATAAAACATGTAAAACTTACTTCATTCTTCTTGTATTGTATCCCTTCACTACGCCAGGACACAGCATTTGTAACTGCCATTGGAGGCCTTTGTGTAACCTCCATTCTATATGCATCAGTTTTTATAAACTCACTGAGAATTTTTGCTTCAGTATATTGAGGATAACCAAAGTCCATCATTTCATCAAGTAACTCATACTGCAAAAGATAAAACATTGTTCCAGTCACAACCAATCCTTTACGATTTTCTTCCCAGTCACATGCTTTTTATCCCAAAAAGAAATAAAATGTTCCTCATACCACTACAACAAAATTATCCCGCAGAGATTCTTCTTCTAACTCTTCAAAGTAATGCTTAAAGACCTGCCAGCAACCAAATAAAAGGAAATGAATAATTCTCCACAGCTACTCAACAGATAAACACATCTCAAACCAACATACTAAAGGCACACTTTTTAGAATGCCATTGTCACTTACATCAACAACACGGTGTAGAAACAGAAGAAGACTAGCAGCATTACAATTCTGCCTTGATGCGGTCATGAGATACACATTATTGTGTTGTATAAACATATACGTCACGCCATTATCATATGCAACAGGATCTTGAGGGTCACCCTGCAAATGATCAAATTCTAGCACTTAAATTAGCCAGAAAAGTAAACTCATTTTCTCCAACTAAGTCTTTACAAATCAGCTGTCTGCAAATGGAACAAAATGAAGATCATAAATAATCTGGAGATCGCGAGGAGAATATTGAAATATTTTGCAATTCAACTGTAACTTCCGAACTTGATTAGTTCTTTTTTAACAATTTTTCATCATTCAGAAAAGAACCATCTCTAAAGAAGAGAAGCTCAACATAATCCTAACCCATATGAACTCATGCACAACCCATGCTTGCGTAATTACCCAGTTTTGACGCTTCAAAGAACATATTTACTAAACAACACAAGATTCCAAACACATTAAACCACTATCAAAATGTTCTTTCATTCCTCTTTACTCTATTTAGCTTTTAAAATGCAGCATTCGACTAAAAGCAATAACTAGCATAAGTCCTAATTAGCTTTAAAATGCAGAATTTCCTTTAAAACAATTAACTTGCATAATCCTACTTTCCCGAAGACACTTGGATACTGGGAATCCCCTACTTTTCTTTTATGAAAGTAGCAGCCGGGCTATCTTGTGCACATATCCATTATTCCACAGGTACCTGCTACCTCCCACCAGCATAGCTACCGGGTAAGTCTGCCTACCAAGGGATAGGCAAATGGAAGAAATCACCTACTGTTTTTTCACTCCTGCTGGGTTTTGAACTTGACACATCATAGTTCTCCTCTCACTTCATTAACCGCTAGGCCAATACACACATGGTTGGAGCAGAATCTACCACTAATTATAATTGGAATATATTAAGAGAACCGAAGACACTGCTTAACTCTTCTACATCCTGGATCCGTCTTTACTTGCAATCTAACTTTTAATAGTCGAAATGATCTTAACTGGCAGACATTTCGTCGTTTAAATTAAAACAGAATGAAAAATAAATGAACAAGAGAACACCTCTTTCTCTAGGAGCTTGGTGAAGAATCGCTCGGCCTGAACGGAGGAGACATCGCCGCGGAAGTCACGCCACACCAGTACTCGGCCTTTGATGTCGAGGAGGAACAGCGCCGACGCCGCCCCTGCCATCTGATAATGTACCCAGATCGCGGATCAGAATACGCGATTATAGCAAAACTCCAATGAGATCTAGTGGTGATTGAGAGTTAGGATTTGTAATTTGATGTAATTGGGGAAACGTCACATGTAGTTTCAGATTTTGAAGACGGATCTGCCAATCAGCTGGCTGAATTTTCACATTGATTCATTGTTGAAATGTCAGTGAATTTTATTTGCTTTGCAGGACAATATAGCCAAATGTAGCTCCGATCGAGTTATGGGGCAAGTGCACAGACACCCGATTTTGAGACTCCTATGTAAGTTGTGGTCTAGGTTCATAAATTTTTGTAAGTTTAGGTACTTGAAAAATAACTTCACATAAACAATATTGAAATTGTAAAATAGGCAAAATACATAAAGTCCCATGAACTCTGTTGAACTAAGCGGGCGTTTGGACATAAGAATGGTAAAATTCCAAAAAAAAAAAGTAAAAAAAAAATAATAAAGTAAAAATGGTATTTGAAAATTAGAGTTGTGTTTGGACATAAATATAATTTTGGGTTGTTTTTGAAGTTTTGTGAGTGATCTCAGTGAAAATTTTGAAAAATAACTTTTTAGAGTTTTTCAAATTTTCGAAAAATTTCAAAATGCATCTTCAAGTGAAAATTGGAAATTATATGAACAAACACTTATTTCGAAAAAAGTGAAAAAATTTCGAAAAAAAGGAAAAATTTTCTTATGTCCAAACGGGCTAAGTTGTGTTTCTTTACCTCATAAACACATTTGAAATGAATTATTTCCCTACTAAAAATTAAGAGCGCCCTTTCTCCTTATATATATATATGGACCCCGTCTTCTTTCTCCTTCTTCCTCACCCCCCGTCCTTCACCAAATTGCCTTAAATTTCAGAATAGAGACTCCACAAATTGCACCCAATAAAATCCAACAACACCAAAACTTAAAAGTCTTCAAACACAACTCTCTCTCTCTCTCTCGTTATATTTCTCTATTCTCGGGTTTCAAAATCGGTCTTAATCGAACTCCTAAAAACTCAAAAAATCAATATGGTAACTGTTCGATCGTTTTTATATTTCGTGCTTCATTTTTGATATATTCCTCTGATTATTCATTTGAATTTTTTCTTTATTGTGCTTACAGGAAGGTGATATGAAATTGGAGGTGCAAATAGAAGCGCTTTTAAATATAGAGAAGCAGATGAGGTAAGGTGGAGATATCATTGGAACTAGGAAAGCGGCTACATATACTCTTCAGCTTTGTTTCGAAACTCGCTTCGAAATACTTTAAATAAACAGATTGTTCTCTTGTTTAAGCATCATGGTCAATCGAACATGCTTATCTATGTTATTATATTTATCAGTTTCTTTAAGCAAAATTATTTTTTAGTTGACTTTGTGTAATTGAATAAATATCGAAGCTTATAGTCCGGAATCTGTTCCTATAGCCTTGTTTGATGTTATTAAATTATTTTGGCTAGATTTGATCCGTTCGGAGAGGGATTTTTGGAGTATTGATTATTGCTTATTTGAGGTAAGTATATCTTGCCTGAGCTTAGTTTGCGGGTAATTTCTCTGTTGGCCATGATGTTTGTTATGTGTTGAGGGATAAGCACGTGCAAGGTGACGAGCGTGTATGCGTACCGTGATTATTCATTATCCGAGTATACTGTAGGCTATTATATGCGTTGTTTTTGCGATCATGCCTTTTTGATACCATATTTCCTCCACATGTATGACTACATGAGCTATTATTCATGCTATAAATCATATTATGCTATGTGTTTATCTGTTTGAAACATGATAGGGCAATTTTTTGCTATATTGAGTTGTTTTTTTAAGTGTAGTTATATTTTCAGTCATGATATTGTATCCGCGTATTGTATCTATGTCTTGGTGCGCTCTTTATTTGTCATCTCACATGTTGTTGGTGTCCTTATTTGTGTGACACAAGTTTGAGTTGATTTGTAGCATGTTGTTATACTCCTTGCAGTATTTTGATTATGGTTCTGTGAGGGGTTGGCATATTGAGACTTAAGGAGATTAATGATTGATTTTGGGCCTTGGAACCGTGTTGATATTTGATAGTGAGGTGATGTGTGCATCGGGCTCCATATCGGGCTGAGTGGTATTGATAGTAAGGTGACCCATGCGCGGTGCCCCCATCTGGGCTGAGTGATATTGATCATTGACTTTTGATCTGACTAGCGCTTGAGCTAGGATCCGCTCCTTCAGAGTCAGGTATTAACTGGTGGGTGCAAGCATACGAGATATACTTGGTGAGAGACTTATGTCAGGCACACGTACAATGCTGAGTGAGTACGTGCATGTGTGATGATTGAGGGGGTACATTTATCAGACATTATACATGTGTTGAGATTTGGTATACTTGATGATTAAATTGCAATATTATTGATTTTGGGCATGTAAACTTGTCATGCAGGTATAAGGTTGCATCTTTCTCATGCTAACTAGTACTTGATGTCTCTATTTCATGTTTAAATTTTGGAATCATAGTTTAAATTGATAATCCATGATTGGGTAATTTCTGTGGAAAAATTGATATCTTGACTAATTTAGTTAAAAAGCATGCTTATTTCTCCTATTGTTGTGATATGAACTAAATATTACTTGATCTGCTTTTCCTTTTGCCGTTATTTTGATGTTATTTGTGTTGGTTAAATAAGCAATGGACCTTGCCAAGCGTATCACTGCTTTCATCCGGAGGTTAGGATTATTACTTATTGAGTAAATAGGGTCAGTTGTACTCATACTACATTCGACACTTTATGTGCAGATCTAAGTGTTGCTGATAGGGGTGATTGCTAGAGGGTGACATCTCTACCTATTGGAGATTTTGAGGTAGCACTGATATTCTGTTCTTAGGCCTTGAAGTCTCTTAGTTCATGCTATTACTGTATAGTCTTTCATACGGTACTGTATTTTGGTCCAGACTCTATATATAATTATGTAGAGCTCATGCACTCGATGACATCAGATTTGGGATGGTTTACAGTCATGTTGTTGTTATTGACTTCAGTTATTTATATTTCTCTTCTAAGACTATTTAATTCCGTTGTTGAAATTTATTTCTGTATATTGGTTGTTGTCTTTCCTAGTAGGTAGTGTTAGGCTCCATCACGGCTCTGATGGGAGTTTGGGTCGTGATAAGGTGGTATCAGAGCACTAAGTTTCTTAAGTCTCATGAGTCATGAGCGAGTCTAGTAGAGTCTTCTGGATCGATACGCACATGTCTATACTTATCTTAGAGAGGCTATGGGTTGTTAGAAAAACTTCTTTTTCTTTCATTCTCTATCATGTGGATTTGTTTATTCCTATGTCTGAATCTTTTCTCTTCTATTCTCTTACAAATTTCATCTAGTGTAGTTGAGCAAGCGTCGGTACCCCAGGCCATGGCTGCGAGAGGCTAGGGTCGAGGCAGAGGCAAGGATAGAGCACGCGCTATAGCTAGCGACTTTGCTCGAGCAGCTATTATGGAGCCACTAGTAGCTCCTATTGAGAAGTAGATTCCTGACAATGTGGAGCATGTGGGACCAACTCGGGTTCTCTAGGGTTTACTTGTTTCACCAGTTGTTCAGGATGCTTTGGTCTGTATGGTTGGTTTGTTCGAAAGTTTGGCTCGGGTCGGGGCATTTCCTACTATACCAGCAACTTCTCAGGCAAGGGGCAGAGCGCAGACTCCTGCTACTCGTACCCTAGAGTAGGTGGCATGTGGTTGTGAGACCCTTGGAGTGTTACCAGGAGAGGCCCGCATTTTTAGCTGATGAGCTAAAGAGGTTGGATAAGTTCTCGAATTCATCCTCCTCACTTTAGTGGTACACCTTCAGAGGATGACCATGGGTTCTTGGACCGTGTCATGAGATTTTGTATAATTTGGGACTAGTCGAGTACAATAGAGTTGACTTCATCGCCTTCTAGATGCAAGGTCCAACCAAGAGGTGGTGGCGGGTTTATAAGCTTGGCAGACCAACATGATCACCTCTTCTTCCCTGGGCTCAATTCTCCAGGGTCTTTTTTGGAGAAGTTTGTTCCCTAGACTAGGAAAGAGGAGCTAAGGAGGTAGTTTGAGCACCTTTAGCAAAGTTAGATGTCAGTTATTAACTACCAGATAAGGTGTACAGAGTTGTCTCATCATGTTACTTTTTGATTCCCTTTGAGAAGGAGAGAGTGCGGAGATTTATTAGTAGTCTTCCCCTAGTATTCGCCTTATTATGGCTAGAGAGGCTAAGATCGGGAGTTTATTTCACCAGGTTGTGGAGATAGAGCATCGTGTTGAGTGCATCTTCAGTGAGACTAGGGAGATGATGCAGGGTAGGGATTAGAGGTCTCGACATTCAGCTTTGGTGGTGGCTCATTTGGAGGCTGAGGTCAATTTGGGAGAAGCCATTCTAGTAGGCCAGCTTATTATACACCATCACCTAGTCGAGGAGCTTTGGTGCAGTCTTCGTTCAGTTCACTTCCCGCGCAGGGTTCTCATCGTGCTCCATCTATTCATGATTTATCGATACCAGGTTCTTTTGGTGGATATTCTGGTTCACAGGGCCCGATTGAGGCCCTACAGTCATTTCCGGTCAAAGGTTGCTATGAGTGTGGAGACCTGGAACACATCAGGAAATACTGGCCCTGCCTTCATAGAGGTTCAAGGCAGCATAGGGTTAAACTCTAACTCGTGCGCCAGTTGCTTCACCACCAGCGCAGCTAGCCTAGGGTGGAGGTCATCTAGGACATCGTCTTCCTAGAAGGGGAGCTCAGTCTAGTCGAGGTAAGCCAGATTCTATGCGTTCCCAAGGAGGACGAAGGCCGTTGCTTCTGATGGAGTTATTACAGGTATTGTTTCTATGTGCCACAGAGATGCTTCGATATTTTTTTTATCCTGGCTCTACTTATTCATATGTGTCATCATTCTTTGCTTCTTGTCTGGATATGCCACATGATTCGCTTGCTACCCATGTTCATGTATCTATACCGATTGGGGATTCTATTATGGTGGATCGAGTTTATCGGTCCTGTGTGGTCACCATATGTGGTTTTGAGACTAGGTAGACTTTTTATTATTGGATATGATGGATTTTGATGTGATCTTGGGTATGGATTGGTTATCTCTGTACCATGCTATTTTTACTGTCATGCTAAGACCGTGACGTTGGCTATACCAGGGTTGCAAGGTTGGAGTGGAAGGGTTCTCTTGGTTGTACTCCTAGCAGAGTTATCTCATTCTTGAAGGCTCAACGAATGGTTGAGAAGGGATGTTTGGCGTATCTTGGTTTTGTTAGAGATATTAGTGATAATACTCCTACTATTGAGTTAGTTGTGAAGGAGTTTCTAGATGTGTTTCCTACAGAACTACCTGGCATGCCACCCGATAGGGATATTAATTTGGCATCGAACACTTAGCTTATCTCTATTCCTCTGTATCGTATAGCTCCAGTGAAGTTGAAGGAATTAAAACAACAACTGCAAGAGTTGTTGGATAAGGGGGTATCACCATGGGATGCACCAATGTTATTTGTAAAGAAGAAGGTTGGTTCTATAAGAATGTGTATTGACTACTGACAGTCGAACAAGGTTATTGTTACACCCCATGTTTTCGTAAGTGAGAGTACGTTATAAGTCAATTGATGTAAGCTCAGAAATGAAATCATCTTTAAAATTACATAAAGTAAGTTATTCATGTTACCTTGGAGGTTACAAATCTTTAAGATCATGAATAACAAGTACCAAGAGGGTTGGAAGGCTTAGGAGCTAAACAAATAGAAGACAATAAGTTTTGTCGAAAGTCAACAAGTTGGGAATGTTATAACATGTCTGGGAATTGGAATCGGACAATCTTTGATCTACAATCAACGTTGGCATAACAAGAAGCCAACCAATCCATACCTATTATAACATCAAATTCTACCATATCTAACTCGATTAGGTCTGCTGCTGTAGATCGACTATGAATTACTACTATACAATCTTTATATACCCGCCTAGCTATCACTGGATCTTTATGTCACGACCCAAAATCCCAACCCGGTCGTGATGGCGCCTCTCGTGAGGACAAAGCCAGCCAATCAACAAAACAATACATCTCTTTATAATTACTTAGCAGGAATAAGTCTAAATTATGGGCAATATAATCTTAAATGCGAAATAAATGTGATAGAACAAGGAAAACCATCCTAACTCAGCCCGAAATCGAGGTGTCACAAGTCATGAGCTACTACAGAGTTTACTAATATTTTAC